GGATTTGTCAGTTAAAAAACAGAGTAGGGAGTTAGTAGATGGGGAGCTGGAGGTATTAGGTAGATGGCGAGAATATTTTGAGGAACTTTTAATGTTAAGGAAGAAACAAAGGCAGTAATTTCCTGCACTGGTCAGGGAGGTATACCATCTTTTAGGAGTGAAGAAGAGCAGAATGTAAGTGTGGGGGAGGTACATGAGGCATTACGTAAAATGAAAGGGGGTAAAGCAGCTGGAACTGATGGGATCATAACAGAAATGTTAAAGCAGGGGGGGATATAGTGTTGGAGTGGTTGGTACTTTTGTTTAATAAATGTATGAAAGAGGGGAAGGTACCTAGGGATTGCGGAGAGCATGTATAGTCCCTTTATATAAAGGGAAAGGGGACAAAAGAGACTGTAAAAATTATAGAGGAATAAGTTTACTGAGTATACCAGGAAAAGTGTACAGTAGGTTTATAATTGAAAGAATTAGAGGTAAGACAGAATGTAGGATTGCGGATGAGCAAGGAGGTTTCAGAGTGGTTAGGGGATGTGTAGATCAAGTGTTTACATTGAAGCATATATGTGAACAGTATTTAGATAAAGGTAGGGAAGTTTTTATTGGCATTTATGGATTTAGAAAGGCATATGATAAGAGTGGATAGAGGAGCAATGTGGCAGATGTTGCAAGTATATGGAATAGGTGGTAAGTTATTAAATGCTGTAAAGAGTTTTTTATGAGGATAGTGTGGCTCAGGTTAGGGTGTGTAGAAGAGAGGGAGACTACTTCCCGGTAAAAATAGGTCTTAGACAGGGATGTGTAATGTCACCATGATTGTTTAATATATTTTATAGATGGGGTTGTAAAGAGAAGTAAATGCTAGGGTGTTCGGGAGAGGGGTGGGATTAAATTTGGGGAATCAAATTCAAAATGGGAATTGACACAGTTACTTTTTGCTGATGATACTGTGCTTATGGGAGATTCTAAAGAAAAATTGCAAAGGTTAGTGGATGAGTTTGGGAATGTTGTGTAAAGGTAGAAAGTTGAAAGTGAACATAGAAAAGAGTAAGGTGGATGGGTTGTCAAATGATTTAGATAAAGAAAAATTGGATATCAATTGGGGAGGAGGAGTATGGAAGAAGTGAATGTTTTCAGATACTTGGGAGTTGACGTGTCGGCGGGTGGATTTATGAAGGATGAGGTTAATCATAGAATTGATGAGGGAAAAAAGGTGAGTGTGCATTGAGGTATATGTGGAGTCAAAAAACATTATCTATGGAGGCAAAGAGGGGAATGTATGAAAGTATAGTAGTACCAACACTCTTATATGGGTGTGAAGCTTGGGTGGTAAATGCAGCAGCGAGGAGACAGTTGGAGGCAGTGGAGATGTCCTGTTTAAGGGCAATGTGTGGTATAAATATTATGCAGAAAATCCGGAGTGTGGAAATTAGGAAAAGGTGTGGAGTTAATAAAAGTATTAGTCAGAGGGCAGAAGAGGGGTTGTTGAGGTGGTTTTGGTCATTTAGAGAGAATGGATCAAGTAGAATGACATGGAAAGCATATAAATCTATAGGGGAAGGAAGGCGGGGTAGGGGTCGTCCTCGAAAGGGTTGGAGAGAGGGGGTAAAGGAGGTTTTGTGGGCAAGGGCTTGGACTTCCAGCAAGCGTGCGTGAGCGTGTTAGATAGGAGTGAATGGAGACGAATGGTACTTGGAACCTGACGATCTGTTGGAGTGTGAGCAGGGTAATATTTAGTGAAGGGATTCAGGGAAACCGGTTATTTTCATATAGTCGGACTTGAGTCTGGAAATGGGAAGTACAATGCCTGCACTTTAAAGGAGGGGTTTGGGATATTGGCAGTTTGGAGGGATATGTTGTGTATCTTTATATGTGTATGCTTCTAGACTGTTGTATCTGAGCACCTCTGCAAAAACAGTGATAATGTGTGAGTGTGGGTGAAAGTGTTGAATGATGATGAAAGTATTTTCTTTTGGGGATTTTCTTTCTTTTTTGGGTCACCCTGCCTCTGTGGGAGACGGCCAACTTGTTGAAAAAAAAAAAAAAATTACTGTATTTAAATTTTCAGTTTGCATTCTCATGTCCACCTTTTTCCTGGTTACATCAAGAAAATATATTTTGTATGAGACACCTTGGATTATGCTTAAATGTTCAAGTAAGTACTCTACTGTATTTTTTTTCATGTTTTTGAAATGAGAATACCTTTGGGGGAAAGAGCTATAAAAGGGATATATTTTAAAAGATGACCACCCCCCCAACCAGGAGCGGGAGGATGAGGAGGGGCACCCCAAAAGGGCCCACCCCTGCAGCCTTTGGGTTAGGTCACCCCAATGAGGAAAGGCTTGGGTCAAATCCTGATGACCTACTTCATTTTTTGACTTTTATGTAATTTTTCGGGGTTTTTTCTTCACCAGGCTTTACATAGTTTAACACACAACAACGGGAAAAAAAATATCTAGTTTTATGAAAAAAAAATTTAATTGTAAATATTTTTTCCCTTTCAATGTAATGAAAATTTTTGGGTCATTTTTTAAACCTTATAACAAATCATATTTTTTAGAGCATTTTTATTTTTTTTTAAATCCCCTTAAATATTAAAAACTTTCTATTTCATTCCCCCCCAAAACCCAAAACCCTTTATTTTCCATTTACTTGTATTTAAAATTTTAAAATTTTTTTTGTGAAAATTTTTAAAAAAAACCAAAAACTCTGAAAAGTGAGTCAACCTATACTTATTTTGGACTCTTTCGGTATAAAAATTTTTGATATGAGTGGAAACTGAGGGGGCCCCTTGGTTTTTTAAATTTACTTTTTTTTTTTAACTGACTTGGGTGAAGTTCCCTAAGCCCTTTCTGTCCCAAAAGCTTTTTCAAAACCCTATTTAAGGGTTTTTTCTGGTGTTAGATTTTCCGGGAAAAAAATTGGCTTCCTTGTCAAATCAGCGACCAAATTTCAAGTCCCAAAAGTGAGAAGAAAGGGCATTTTTAAAAAAAATATTAATTTTTTAAAAAAAAAATATAGAAAGGTTTTTAAATTTACTACTTTTAACTTTGTTTTAAAATATTTTCTTTCTTCTTCTTTCAGCAAACTGGGGGAGTTTTGGTTATTTAGAGAAAATTTGGATCAAAGTAGAATGAATGGAGAGCGATAAATCTGTGGGGGAAAGGGAAAAGGGGGGGGGGGTTTTGTCCTCAAAAAGGGTTTTGGGAGGGGGGGGGGTTTAAAGGGAGGTTTTTTTTGGGTGGGGGCTTGGATTTCCCAAAGCAAGCGTTGTGGGGAGTGTGTTAGTTTAGGATGAAGGGAAAAATGAATGGTTTTGGGACATGCGACTTTTGGAGTGAAAGCAGGGGTTAATATTTAGTGGGAAGGGGGTTTTAGGGAAAACCCGGGTTTAAAAATTTTTATTAGCCGGAAATTAAGTCCTGGGAAAAGGGAATTTCAAAAGCCGGGACTTTAAAAAAAGGTGTGGTTTGGGATATTTGGGAGTTTTTTGGGGGGATATTTTTGGATCTTATACGTATAAGCTTCCAAACTGTTGTAAATTTTTGGGAAAACCTCTGCAAAAAAAGGGGATTATGTGTGAGTGGGGGTAAAAGTGTTGAATGATGACGAAAGATTTTTTTTTTTGGGGATTTTCTTTCCTTTTTTGGGGTTAAACCCTTTTTTCGGGGGAGACGGCCGACTTTTTTGGAAAAAAAAAAAAAATTGGGGTTTTGGTCCCCCCCCGGGCCCTTGTTAAAAATTTTGATAATATTTTTTAAAAAATTTTAGAGCTTTCTTAAAAGTTAGTTTTACCTAAGCAAAATTTTTATTAAATTTGGGCTCAAAGGCCCAGTTTTCTTTTTGGGGGAAAAAGTTTTTTTAAGTTGAATTGCTTTTTTTTTTTTTTTTTTTTTTTTTTTTTTTTTTTTTTTTTTTTTTTTTTTTTTTTTTTTATATTTTGGTGTCCCCATCTGATAAATTAACCCCTTCTAAGCGAAACTTGATAATGCCCAAATTTTGAGTGGCCCTTTAACTTAATCGGGTTGTGTATTTTTGGATGTTTGGTTTTCCTTTTAAAAGGTTTAAATTAGAGTTGGTCTGTTTTAAAATTCTAATTTATTATTTTGAATTTGAAGAAATTTTGGAAAAAATTTTTTTCATTTTTTAAGACTTTAAAGCCTCTTTGATTTTCTTTAAATCTTCAACTGTTTAAAATTCATCTGCATTTTCAAATAAATGTACCCAAAATGCTGGGGGGGCAAGGGCTAATTTAACCCCCTTTTTCCTGTGAAAAAATTTTAAAAAAACCCTTTAAAAGTTATAATCATAACTTTAATTTTTTTTAAGGGGTGGACGTAAAGCAAGCGGAAGGCCTCTGTCCGATGACCAAACGCTCCAGCTACGGGGCATCATTGATAAGACCCACATCATGAAACACTTTTCCTTTTCCCCAAAAAACCCTTACTTAACCAATCTAACCTATATAAATTTCTAAAAATTTAAAAGGGAAAATAAGCTTTAATAAACTTCTCTTCTTTTTCCGGGGTAAATCTGCCTTTGGGGGGAGACGACGAAAGTTGAAAAAAAAAAATAAAAATTTCTAACGTGCCAAATTTTCCCAAACACTTGCTCTAAGGTCAGTGGGGGGGATATGAAATGCAAGGAGCCTTTTTTCAGTTCTCACAAATGAGAAAAAAACACTATTCTGGTTTTTTGTTATTATCTAGACTAATGGTTCCCAAAAGTTTTTGTCCATGGCCCACTGTAACCACATCTTCCTTATAACCCAGATAATACTAGTACCTTCTTAGTGCCCCCAAATTTCTAGAGATGTTTAAAGAAAACATTTGTAAATAAATTAAAGGCATAATCAGTCAACTTCCAACTTTATGTTGAGTTGTCATAGTGGTTTAAGAAATAAATATATAGACTTTCTCATCTTTACATTCTGTTGTTCTCATTATAAGCTTTCAGGTTATTTTCTAGCTCTTAATATTAGACTGCTCTCTTTAGTTTTCCAGTTGGTGGCAGTGACACTGGAAAATTGGAAGCTCAGGAGACAACTCGAAACTGGTTTTACAAAGTGGCTTCTATCAGAGAACTCCTGCCAAGGCTTTATCTGAAGCTGCCCTCTTGCCTTGTTACTCCCTTATCAATGTTCAGTAAGTCTGCATGTTGATATAGATATTATTGCATATTATTGATATAGTATTATACTGCAATTCCACGAATGTTTATAATCATACATAAACATTTTATCAGATCAACCAGGCTGATAGCTATGTTGTTTGTGGTCTGCTGGCAGCAACAGCTTGATTTATCAGGCAGTCAATGAGGAAGTCTGGCCTCAAGACAGGTGTAAGGATAGAAACCAGTGACACACATGTTTGTGAGCAGGTGCTTGGTTCTGGTATGTCCCTTCACACCCCTGATGATAATTTAGTACTCTCATCTTCAACCTCACATACATACATACACATATCTACATTTCAGTAGAGTGATCACGTGTCAATGTTGCTGCCCAAAATTAAAAGCCCATCACAGTAGTCACCATGGACTTGTACTCTCAGACTGCAGGATTGAATTCTGATCACTCCACTGAATTGTGTTTTACTACAGATTTCAGCTTATATCCTGTATCAATATATTGCATTTATATTTTTGTTTCTGAACCAGTTTAGTCCCACTAGTATTAGAGTCTAGTACATCTAAATATGGCTGCTTTTAATCATTTCCCATTTTCTCTTACATGCCAGAAGGTACAAATCAAGTTTTGTACAAGTTAAGGGTTACAAGAAAGTTTGCTTTCCAGCACTATTGGACTATGTTGTTTTGACAACATAATGATGGCTGTGTGCAGTACTTACATCTACTAGAGTTAAATAAGTCTTGAAAATTGTATCTCAGAATGCTCTAATTAAATCCTCATTTTTTTCTATTATCTTTTTCCCTTCATTTCAGACTGTAAGAATCTAATAATAATTGATGGAGATTTTCATATGAATACAAAACATTGTTTGCTTTTATCTTTGTCTTAAAAAGTTGTAGTTTTAAGTACTGCACATTTTTTATTAAAGAGTTTTGACTTACACCATTGATAGTACAAATACACTGCCAACCTTTTCTTCACATTGTTCACAATTCTGAAAAGGTGTACTGTACCAATACACTAACTTTAGTCAGGTGATGTCTAGTCTTTATTTCTAGAATGAGGAAAAATGAAATAAAATGAGTGAAGAGCCAGAAGTGAGAATGAAGGCAGTGAGTGAGACAGTGAAATGAATCAAAGTGAGTATGAAGCAAAGCAGCAAGGATAGATAGAATTTAAACTGAAATGCTGAAAGTAGAAAGTGTTAGAATATTTAATGCTTTTGTATGAAGGAAGGAAATGTAGACTACCTAAATACTGACAGATAGCATGTCTGGTTCCTCTGTATAAGTAAAGAAAATAAATTGAGGTAAGAGAGTGCAAGAATTATAGGATCTCAATTTGTGAAAGTGAATGGTACAGCCGTGTTTCATATTGACTGAAAAGACAAATTGAGATTGCAGAAGAACAAAGTAGTCGTCAGAGGAAATTAAGTATAGATTAAGTGTTTGCACTGAAACACAAGTGAGCAGTTTTAACATAATAACAAGAAAATGAAGATATTATATGTGATTAACAAGAAGGGATAAATGCGACTTATTCCACTGAGTCTTTCAGTGATCTGTGTTAGAGAGAATCAGGTTTCAGACTTCATAGTTAATAATCATTGTGCATTTATTTACAGAGAAGGTGAACAGGCTCTGTCAAGATTATCACGAATGATCCGAGGAATTGGTGATCCTCTGATGGCTGCTTATGCACGGATGTATGTGTGTCGCATGGGCTTTGTGATCGCACCCACACTTACTCAACACATTTCTGAAAGCATAGAAGATTTTCTGCATGCTCTGAAACAGGTATTTTCAAACCTTTTAAAGAGTTTTAAAATGCTAATGAGTATGAAGTTTTCAAGCTTGCTAATATTCTTAAGTTATTAGAATTTCTAGTACAGTGGTACTTTGACTTATGAGTGCGCCAACTTACAAGTTTTCCGAATTAACGAGCCATCGTTCGGGTCGATTTTTTGCTTTTGAGTTGTGAGCCAAAATCTGAGTTACGAGTGAGCTTCAGGTACGCAGCCACTAGTTGGCGCAGCGAATGCCACAACATCCACCCAGCATCCTGCATCACTCATTCAGTGCACGTGGTTACCTTGCCATGGAAGCATCTCTCTGTGTTTGTGCTTTGCATTTTGTGCTTTTTGTTCTGTTATTTTGCCAGATTTCTTCTAACCATGGCCTAAGAAAGTAAGGCAAAGGACAGTGCTGACAAGAGGAGAGAGGATGTCCATTGAATTAAAGCATGAAATCATAGAAAAACAATGAGCGAGGTGTGGTGTAGCCAACTTGGCAAGGCAGTACGAGCGTAGTACTTCTACAATATATACCATACTTAAGCAGAAGTCGATAGAGCTTATAATGCCAGCCAAGGGCATTAAAATAATTTTCTAAGCTACTGTAGTAGTGGTGGTAGTGGTATGGTGGTAGTAAAGGTGGTGGTCATGTTAGTGGTGGTAGAGGTGGTGGTGGTAGTGGTAGAGATGGTAGTGGTGGTGGTAGAGGTGGTGGTGGTAGTGGAGGTGGTGGTAGAGGTGGTGGTGGTAATGGTGGTACCGGTAGAGGTGGTAGTGGTGTAGCAATTAAGTTAAGTGATAGAGCTTATGACAAACGAAATCGACCATCCTCCACCTTCGCCAGCATCTTCCGTTAGCCCAAGTCGTCTGATCTCCAAGGTAAATGCACTTTATAAAACCAGTTTATTTCTTTACATTCTCATTTATTATATTTTATACAAATTTCTTATATATAAATATGTTTTTTCATATAGTCGAACTTGAGTCCTGGAAATGGGAAGTACAATGCCTGCACTTTAAAGGAGGGGTTTGGGATATTGGCAGTTTGGAGGGATATGTTGTGTATCTTTATACGTTAATGCTTCTAAACTGTTGTATTCTGAGCACCTCTGCAAAAGCAGTGATAATGTGTGAGTGTGGTGAAAGTGTTGAATGATGATGAAAGTATTTTTTTGGGGGATTTTTCTTTCTTTTTTGGTCACCCTGCCTCGGTGGGAGACGGCCGACTTGTTGAAAAAAAAAAAGAATGTTTTCTTATTTAAATACCCATGACAAAAAAAAAATTGGGGTGGTTTTTTGGGGGCTGGAACAGATTAATGGCTTTCAATTAATTTTAGTGAGGAAAATGATTTGACATACGAGCAAATTGAGTTACGAGCTAGGTCACGGAACAAATTAAACTCGTAATTCAAGGTACCATTGTATTTACTTTTGTTTATTCATTTTTGGCTTGTTTCACTCTCATTCTATGCCATATTGCTCTTGGATATAATATTCTTTCACCTGAGTGTGAAACCATCTTCATTTTAAAATAACTTTTTTTTATCACTTTATTTATTTCTGTGACTAGTTTTTAATATAATTTAGGGTCTATGGCCAGAAGGTGAAGCAGACATGAACATGGGCGAGGATAAGGATTCTTTGGCAGCTCGAGTTTTCTCCCTCCACTAGAGTGGATGATGCAGTGTTTGGCTAGCTGTGCCCCCCACCATATCTTACAGGTGAGAAATAATTTAAATTAATTGAATTGCCAAATGACAGACTGGACTGCCTGTCACTCTGTATACACTGCTGCAGTTATAATTTGTAAAACTGTAATCTGAATTCATGTACACACATTATAAATTCTTTTACATGTAACATTATTTTTTAATTTTTGAAGATTGTCGAATATACATTGTGCAGGTGGTATGTTAAAACTTTATTAGTTGTAAAATCACGAAATTAGTGCATTTGTTTACAGATATCCTACGCCAATGTGAGAAGGAGAGGGATTGGGGCAGAACCTTTCCTTGTTTCTTCCCTCCTTGCCACATTTCCTCACCACCCCCATAGCCCTGCAGGCCTTCCTCTCACTCACCTCATAGCGGGTTGTTCTTATCCGGGTCAGTGGTGTTCTGTAATCATCTTTCACCACCAATCATTTTATCTACAGAAATACTATCCAAAATTACTCCATGAGCTGCTTTTTTTCCTCAAGGAAATAGAGGGCCCTTATACTGTATAGCAGTTCTCCATTATATAGTATAGTCCAAATACTAATCTACATCTATCCTGTAAACTGGAAATAAAATAGAGTATAATTAGACATTGTTTGTGTGAAGCAGGGGAACCTGCATGGGTTATTATGCATAAGAAATGGTGGAGGCTTGATTCTCTATCCAATAGTCAAAAAACACACGCACACTCTCGATGTTTTCAGTACATCCTAGTCCATTGTCAGCCTCTCAATTATCAATTATTAGTCAAAAACAATCAATGTTAAAGATGTTTTTAATGACGTTTCAGGCATTTTTTAAAAAAATTCTCATTCATTTTAAGAGCTTAAAAGTGAAGCACTCGTCACATCAGTGGCAAACATAAAAGGGGGTGGACGCCCCAGGTGATTACAGAGTACAAATAGGGCCTGTATAGGGAAAATCATTGAAATTTGATGATGTGTTAGATGACTTTGCAGGGTTTAAGGCAAGGAAATGTAAGATCAAATCATTTAGATGTTACCGTAAATCAAGGTCAAATCGGAACTAGCATTTCTCTGATATTGCAATGTTTTTCTTTATTTTTCAAGTTTTTTTTTTTTTTTTGCATTGTTGAAGATGAATAAATGTAGGATCTGTTGCCTGCACTCAAAGGGGGTAATTGAGTTTGTTTTTCCTCAATATTTCTACGATCATTTGGTCATTGGTCATGCAGTAGTGACATAGCTGGGTTGACTTCCCCCATCCCCCAAACCCTTGGATTCAGGGGGGTGACACTTAAGATGCCGCCCTGGGGGGACACCACCCCAGCAATCTATTGCGTCACATAATTGATTTCCAGAAATACATATGCTTAGAAATATTGAGTAAGAATGTGAAAGTGGTAAAGAGAAGGAAAGGTGCATTTAAAGAAAAGCATTATTCTTCTTATTATTATTTTTCTTTGCCTCAACAGCCATTTCTCACCAAGCCAGGTGACCCCAAAAAAGAAAGCACATTCACCATCATTCATTCAGTCACTATCTTTCCAGAAGTGTGCTAACACCACAAGTCAGTTTACCCTCCAACTGACTGCCCTTCCCACATCCAGGAAATCAAAGTCCAACTCACCATTTTTCCCTTGAATCCCTTCATAAAAGTTACCTTTCTCACACTCCAACCAGCTTGTCCATTAAAACCCACTTGTCTTCATTCACTCCTGATTGACACACTCAAACAAGCCTGCTGGATGCTCAGCCCTCTAACACTTGAAGCCTCTTACACCCTTTACTCTAACCATTTCCTGGAATATCTCCTACCTCCTCCCTCCACCCCAGATTTATACACCCTCCTTGTCATGCTACTCTCTCCCGTTCTACTTACCCAAACCCACCCTCAACAACCCCTCCTCAGTTATCTGAATTACTCCCTTTTTGACCTTACTTGCCTTTATTATTATTATTATTCTTTTAAAAAAACCACCGTATGCCACTGAGGCAGGGTGACCTGATAAAGAAGAAAACTATAAAAATTTTCAATTCAGACATTACTCAGAGCATACAGTCTGTCTGCAGAGCTGCAACAGAACACATGGACATGATACAAGGAACAAGTATCTTGCATTTCCATGTGTACTACTTGGCCTATTCAAAAACTCCATGGCAGATAAAGGCCCCAGAATTTGGGAAATCACAGCCCGAAAATGCCAAAAGTTTCCTGTCCCGCCAACATTTACTAATATTGTTAAAATCCACCTATTAAATCTCACATAAAATTAATATCTCTAAAAAAATTTACATTTGATTTCACAATCTCAGTTCAACCACTCAACAAAATGCAGGTCATTAAACTAATATAATTTATTTGTAATTAACCAACTCATCATTTGCAAGGTTATCTACTGATACTAAGTAACATTAATTACGTACATATAATTAGGTCTAGAGTTAAGTAGTATTAAGCCTTATGATTAGTTTGCCTAAAATGCACTCCTAATTGTAATGGCATTTTTCTAGCCTACAATTGAAATCAAATTATATTGTATTATAATAAGAACAATATCTAAAACATAGTTAACTGGAATGTATAACTGTTGCAACTTTGATCATCTCCATTTGGTAACCTGAAAAAAAAAGAAATGCTTTTCTTCTTTTTTACAATTAGTAATTTACACAGAAGAAGGGTTACTAGTCCCTTGCTCCCAGCATTTTATTTATTTATTTATTTGCATTGTAGGTAAACTTCAGCATGAACTGTTGTAAATCCCTCGTGTGTGTTCAACCAACAGCTCCCACCCCAGCAGCAGCAGCTGCCCCTTCTTAACGCCGTGTGGAAGCTCAAGCTCCCTGTACCCAACACCAAAGATTACCTCTCTACTGCTGGCATATTGGGTGGAGTTTACTGCTAAACATTTACAGTAAAGATTTCCTTAGTTTGAGTTTACATTCAAGATTATGGAATCTGACTGATTTTTAAAAAAAAAAAAAAATTATTAAAATTTTCACTGGGGATTGAGCCTGCTAAGTCATCATGCAATATGCAATACTGTAAAGTTCTGATACTTTAAAGGGGGTTAGCTTGACTAATTGTAAATCATTGTTGCAACAATAATTATAAACAACTGAAGTAAATACTGCCTGGGTTAGAAATGATGCTGAGTAGAACTAGATTTAATCTCTTAGCAATATGAATACATCATTCCCCATTTCCCATTTTTCAAAAAGTGTTTTTGATGTTGATAAAGGTGGAAAGCACAGTGCTTGGATTCTGAAGGAGTGTGGAAAGTTGCAATTTAGAGGGGCATTTGAACTGTGATAACTGCACTTTTCTAGCAAGACAGCTAATTGAATGAAAAGAGAGTGAATGTTTCCTTTTTTTGGATCACCCAACCTTGATGGGAGATGGCCAGTGGTTAAAAACATTACAAAATATTTTTTCTTTAATCTTTCAACAAACCAGTCATATCTCACTAGGGCAAGGTGAGCCAAAAGAAAAACAAAAGTTTCTTCTTTTAAAATTTAGTAATATAGTATACAGAAAGAGTTTACTAGCCCCTTGCTCCCAGCATTTTAGTCGCCTCTTAAACACACATGGCTTATGGAGGAAGCATTCTGTTCCACTTTCCCATGGAGAAAAAGAGGGAACAAACAAAAACAAGAACTAGAAAGATAATAGAAGAAAACCCAGAGGGTGTGTATAAATATGCTTTACCTGAAATGTTATGGGTAGAAAGTTGGTAGCAGCAACCGCCCAGGGAGGACTACCGCCTGCCAAGTGAGTGTAAAACGAAACCCTGTAATTGTTTTACATGAGGTAGGATTGCTGGTGTCCTTTTTTCTGTCTCATGAACATGCAAGATTTCAGTTACGTTTTTGCTACTTCTACTTACACTTGGGTCACACTACACATACATGTACAAGCACATATATACACACCCCTCTGGGTTTTCTTCATTTTTCTTTTTAGTTCTTATTTTTTTATTTCTCTTATCTCCATGGGAAGTGGAACAAATTCTTCCTCCGAAGCCATGCGTGTTGTAAGAGGCGACTAAAATGCCGGGAGCAAGGGCTAGTAACCTCTTCTCCTGTATATATTACTAATGTAAAAGGAAAACTTTCGTTTTTCCTTTTGGCCACCCCCCTCAGTTGGATACGGCCGGTGTTGAAAGAAAGAAAGACCTGAATAAAGTAGTGTGACCTAAGTGTAAGTAGAAATAACAAGACATACCTGAAATCTTGCATATTTATGAGACAGAAAAATGACACCAGCAATTCTTTTTTTTTTTTTTTTCCCAACAAGTCGCCGTCTCCCACCGAGGCAGGGTGACCCAAAAAGAAAGAAAATCCCCAAAAAGAAAATACTTTCATCATCATTCAACACTTTCAACCTCACTCACACATAATCACTGTTTTTGCGGGAGTGCTCAGAGCACAACAGTTAGAAGCATATACGTATAAAGATACACAACATATCCCTCCAAACCACTAATATCCCGAAGCCCCTCCTTTAGAGTGCAGGCATTGTACTTCCCATTTCCGGGACTCAAGTCCGGCTATATAAAAATAACCGGTTTCCCCCTGAATCCCTTCGCTAAATATTACCCTGGGAAACCGGTTATTTTTATATATCCGGACTTGAGTCCTGGAATGGGAAGTACAATGAAATTTCTGCCATCATATAAAAAAATTTTACAAGTTTCAATTTTACACTCATTTGGCAAAGGGGTAGTCCCTTTCCCCTGGCAGTTGCGTTTACCACCCTACTACCTAGTACTAAACATTTTGTGATGTAAAAAATGAAACAGATAAACAATTTAACATAATGTATAAGCATACATTATATAAATTTTAATAACAACGTACATAATTACATTGTAGCATAACTATGAAAAAAATATTTATAAATATATATTTTTTACCATCATTTAGACACTAAAGGAGGGGGGAATGTTGCAGTTGGAGGGTTATCTGTTTATGATGTAGCAGTCTTTGGAAAAATGACTGTTGAGTGAATGATGTTGAATGTGTT